GATAGTATTCTTGGCCTGGGTCAAGGTGGCGCATGCCAGCAATCCTCTCAAGCCAAGCAGGGCCAAAAAACCCGGCATGATGATTCCTCCTTGCCACGGGAGTTCAAGAAGCTAAACGATAATAGTTTGATTCGGCGCGTGTTCACTCCTAAGTATCTCTTGTTTTTTAGGATTCACGCAGGGTGACGTCACCTCGCACCGGCTAGAGGTGACTATTTACAAAGGTCTAGGGGCGAGCGGGAGGCGGTGATTAACCCAAATGTACTGAGCAATTCTCAACAGCAATTAGCCAACATCACCTAAATAACCATAATACTTTCATGCTTCATTTATGCGGTTGGCGGATCTAATAGCTTCCGCATGATATTTCATATATTTGGTGGGTATCCCAATTATAGATCCAGTGATAAGTGGGAATTCCAGAAAAACAAATATTTCGGGAATAACAATGATTTTAAAGAATCTAATTGTATAGAATTAAGGATTAAATAAACAAAATCTTTTAATTGCTTCAATATTCTTTCTAGTTAGGTCGAAGGACTATAAAGTCCAACGTCTGTTTCCCAAAGATTTTAAATAAAATATTAAACAAAATATATATAAAAATGGGAATAATAAAAATAGTATAATAATTATAAATTCTGTAAGTTTTGGTTGTTAGGCTTTATGATTTAAATGCAGGGCCCTACCATATTCTAAGAATAATATTTTTTACTCAATTAAACTTGAGAACTTGTACAGACTTTCCAAAAACCAGACTTAGGAATACATTATTTAAGATACTCACAATTCTAAATACTTTAAAACATAAAAAATTAAAATGTACAGTTTACTTTAAGAATGGAATTTTTTTTCAGCTATAACTCGTGTTCTAATATCATTAAAAATGGTTTATAATGATCACACTTTCGTTCCTTTATGATCTTTTAGTTCTGATGACTTAAGAAAAAGCCATTAGCCATTAAAAGTGTCACATTTTCATTGAGTCTTATTCCAAACATTTTCACCTTTTCCCCGTTTTATGGCCAAACGTGCCGTGGCAAAGATCTATGCTCCCATTTGATCTCAGTTTTCTTAAATATTCCGCTCTTTTCAAGGAAGGTGACATATTATGGGGCAAGCAAGCACAATGACCTTAAAGCGACAAGTGTTTCTAGCAAAAATTAGAATATATATTTGTATGTATATGTGTAACAAAATATTTTTATTCGTGATTACGTGTACTTCTACAATACATTAACATGTCAGAGCTGCATTTGTGTAAGAGAAATGATGCTGTGCAAAAGGTTTACACTATCTGTCGGCAACACTGTTCTACATTAAAGCTGTGACCGCTCGTTGGCTTTTTTCTTCTAGTTTAAAACTCAATGGCAAAGGGATAGTACTTGTGGTTTTGACCCTTGATTAAATTTAATGGCACCACACGTTCTCCGGTGTGATACCCATCGAGAACGGTCATCTCCTCGGGGGTTAGCTCAAAGTCGAAGACATCGAAGTTCTCCGAAATACGTTTGGGATTCGATGACTTCGGAATGGGGATAACGCCCAAACCAACCTGTAAAAAGTATATAAATTAAAATGGGTCTTTAGGAAGAGGAGAGTATTCTCTTAGGAGAGTCTTCTCTTCTTACCAAATAACGCAGCACAACCTGCGGAGTTGTCTTGCCATATTTCTGGGCAATAGCCGTCACCTCCGGGGAATAGATAAAGTCAGGCTTTTGAATATCAGGCTTTGGCTTGCCCAACGGCGTGTAGCCCGTCAAAGTGACATCGTTCTTCTTGCAGAAGGCCGTCAAAGCCTTTTGGTTGAGAGCAGGCGAGCACTCCACTTGGTTGGTGACAGGTTTGATCTCACAATTGGCCAAAACACGTGCCAACTGTTCGCTATTAAAGTTGGACACTCCAATGCTGCGGACCAGACCCAACTTCACCAGCTTCTCCATTGCCTTGTACGTGTCCAGATAGTCCACATCGCTGAGTTGGAGCACATCGTTCTCATCCTTCGGCATCAGGTTGGTCTCGTCAGTGTACTTGTAGCCCACTGGCATGTGCATTAGATACAGATCGATGTAGTCCAAGCCAAAATTGGCCAACTGCTTGCGGCAAATTCCTTCCACAAGAGCGGGATCATGGAACACATTCCACAGCTGAGGGAGTTACATTTGTGAAAGGATGAAATTTAATTTAATTAGTATATTATTTTGAGGAAATCTGTTTTATATAACTTTTTATATATTTATTTGTATTTAGAAGACTTATTTTTGGTAGTAAATACAATCCTTAATCCTTACCTTAGTCACCAGGAATATATCCTCGCGCTTGACCACTCCCTCGGCTATCTTATCCCTTATGGCCTTGCCCACTTCAGCCTCGTTTTGGTAGAAAAAAGCCGTATCAATATGACGGTAACCCACATCGATGGCGTGCTTCACCGCAGCTTCGCCTTCGTTGTCCTTGGACTGGAAAATAAAAAATTATTAAATTAAATAAACATATTTAAACAGATAAAGACGTTCGTAATAATATATAAAAAAAATAAATAAATCAAATATATATTGTGTACGTATTTAATATATTCAAAGTAAATTTTCATTTGTACAAGGATTATTTATTGGAAATCAAGTCTATACTCTATATATCACAAGGGTCTGGGTCTTTGAATTCCGCCCGCATGGTCTCCAGCATGACATACATGTAGTCTTCGCTGTACTCCAACTCGATGTCGCGCACCAGATCCACTTCACGCTGCAGCTGGTGTTGGAAAATGACTTCTCGATTTAGTTCTTCGGCTTGTTCCAGCATCCGGTCGACCAGTTCATCGGTTTGTTGGTAGTTTTCCATCAATATCTTGGCGTGTTCCAAAGCCACACAGATATCTTTAGCCTGTGGACAACGTGGCGACGGAGGCGGCGGTGGCGGCGGCAACGGTAGCCGGGCGTTCTGGGACTGGACACCACGTGGAGTCTGTGACCGCACTTCCTGCTTCTGCAGCCTGCGCCCTAAGCGGCCCCGAGTGCCGACGAGCTTGGACTTTGAGACTTCAGTCTTGACGGATGATGTTGATTTGGTTTCACAATCAAGGGGTTTATCGCAAAAATCTGTCACGCCCTCCACACTGCTCATTTTAAGGCGTCGGGCACGATCCACCACGCTGGCGAGGGCGCTTTCCAAGGAATCGCGCTGGGTACTCGGCAGCTCCACTTCCTCTTCGGGCTTGGGGAGTTTCGGTGGATTCGCACTCATCTTCACCAGGTATCGCAAAATGGTAGCATAAAATATAACTAATAACTAAAGGCGATCTAATTGTGAACCGAAGCCAAATGTGTGTGTCGTCGCTTCCAATATGATATAGTTTTTATGTCAGGGTCGGGTATCGAATGTCTAGTTTGGAGCCCGACAACAAAATCCATGACAGTTTCACAGAATAGGCAAAGGGAGAGATGAATCAAATTATGATTTTAATCTTTTATCATCTTTTTTTGTAGTAAAAAGTAAATTTCCATCTGCAATTTGTATCCATATAATATATTTTACCGCTTTGAACTTAATGTTTTGTATAAATTCGATTTAATAAGGATAATACTGATGGTGCTTGGCCTTCTCAAACTTCCAGATTCTCTGGCCCCGATTGAAAGACTCAAAGTGGAGCAGCTCCTCGGTTGTAAGCTTGAAATCAAAGACATCCAGATTTTCCTTAAGATGCCCTTTTTGTGCCGCCTTGGGAATAGGTACTGTGCCAAGGTCAATCTACGAAACATTCGCAATTAAATATGCTCTTCCACTGTTCAAACTCTGGGTGTTCTCACCAAATATCTAAGGACCACTTGGGCGGGTGTCTTTTGGTATTTCTTAGCCATTTCCACAACTTTTGTATCCTTATAAAACTCAGGCAAGGGTCGGCCGGTTGTGGGACGACCCAGTGGCGAGTAGGCAACTACAGTGATGTTGTGCAGCTTACAGAGCTCCATCAAAGGGATTTGCACTAGTTCCGGGTGACATTCGATTTGAAGAGCAGCGGGTTTAATACGACAACTTAGCAGCAATCTCTGCAGTTGATCCAAATTAAAGTTGGACAATCCCAGGCTGCGTACGAGTCCCAAGTCCACCAGTTGCTCCATGCTTTTGTAAGTGTCCAGGTAGTCCACGTTGCTGGGAAATCAGCAAATATCAGTTTCTGGCTGCCGATGGGGGGCCTCGACTCACTTTGTCCACAGCTCTCCGTTCTCCAAATGCGGCATCATATCCTCATCTGAGTTATAATGGACGCCCACCGGCGAGTGCATCAGGTAAAGATCTATGTAGTCCACGTCTAGCTGTTTCAGCTGCAACTCACAGGCATATTGCACCCTTTTCGGTTCGTGATAGATGTCCCAGAGCTACGAGGATATTGATTTCCTATATATGTATACCCATCAAGCACTGATTCTAGGACGTTCGACGACTCACCTTTGTGACCAGAAACACCTGTTCTCGCTGCACTTTTCTCGCCCCCACAAATTCACCCAATACCTTGCCCACAAGTCCCTCATTGCGGTACAAAAAGGCGGTGTCTATGTGACGATAACCCAGTTCTAGGGCGTGGCGCACTGCATCCACACAGCGAGATTTCTTTAGCTACAGATAACGTACACAACATACTTGATTACGATCCGGAGAATTTCACAATTGTTCTAAAGTTCCGAAAGAATGGAAGGTTCTATGCGCGTTTATAATCTGCCCATTGATTGATTAGCTTTTATCTAGATTAGGCCACTTACATTGTAGGTTCCCAGGCCCAGGATTGGCATTTCATAGCCATTGTTTAACTTGACAGTCGGAGCTAGCTTCATGTTTAATGCAAAATCAAAACTTAATTAAACTTGATCGCCGAATCGCAAGAGGTAGCCGGTTCGAAGTGTGACCGTATTCGAGTAAGCAAAAAATACCACAACATCCTACATATATTACCGTTGCATGTTTAAATATTTTATAATATAATAACGCAATTTAAATAAATTGTTTATTTAAATAATACAACAAAGTTTAAAGTCTAGGAGCCTCGCAGGATATTCAGCTCCTCGGGCAGAGCATAGATGCGCAGCTGCTTCTCGATCATCACGTCCTGAAGATGGGCCAGCTCCTGCGGCACATAGATGGCCCCGTCCATGTACAAAGCCTTGTCCCAGGGACACTCGTCCAAGGCGGACACCAGGCACTCTTTGCTCCGCTCGAAGCTGGTCCTGGTGTCGGAGAGACAGCGCAGGTAGATGCGCCAGTAGAGCGAATTGCGGCGCAAAATCTGATATTGGTTAGCCTCGATCTCCGAGCGATTGGTGTTCCGCGGCAGAAAAGTCTCAAACATGCTGAGCACGCGATTGCGCACGGTGGCCTCCACATGGCTGCGCAGCTCGGGATGGCTTTGCTGCTGGTCATGGTCCAGGATCCTGGCGAACCGACAGCGAGCGGCAATGACCAAATGGAGCAGCGACAGGATGCCGGCCTGGGTGCGTATGATGCGGGCGCGCAGCTTGTGCCACTGCAAAGTACCGAAGGTGGCCCAGCGCTGCAGGAAGACCAGGTTGCGAGGATATTCGTGGAGTCCCTGCTCTACTAGCTGCACCACTTGATTTTTACTTGTAAAGGCTTTCTCCGCCAGAGGCTTCTCCGGCACCCGCAGCTGGCTCAGCACTAGCTGCATTTCCAGGACCTGCTCACGGAAGAAACGCCTGCGTTCACTGTTCCTGGTGGCTGCGAAGCTCAGCTGCTTGGCCAGCAAACGATCGAGCAGGACATTCGTTTCGGCGCTGCGATGCTCCAGGTTCCAGGCCAGACAGTGGGCTCGCAAGAGGATGAGCAGCCTGTGGGGCTGAAAGTACTCCTCCAGGGGCATCTCCTGCGGCATTCCGTCCAAGGCCAATATCTCCATGTTGATCTGTTCCCGGCTGGTAATCTCATCCAGGCTGTGGCACATCCTGCCGTTGGCCCGACCCATGCAGATGCGGTAGAGTAGCTGCAAAGCCTGGTCGTGGGAATTCCGCGAGATTAGCATTTCCGCATAAATCAAATAAGCATGCAGGACATCCGGAGAGCCAAAGGAAACATCATCCTCCTCCTCCTCCTGCTTAGCCAGCAGGGTGCGGAATATGCTAAAGGCTCGAACAGGATCATCGTCGCGCTCCAAAACCTCGAACTCGCACATGGCCAGCTCGGTGTAGAAGCGGAAGACGTGGCGATTCTGCTCCAGGCTAAACATCTTGCGTATGCGGGAGCGGCTCTCCTTGAGGTACTGCTCGGTCAGCTTACCCGTTAGCTTGTGCAGCACCAGCTGGAGTCGCTGGAAGCGCAGCCACAGGACCACAAAGAGCCGACGCTTATCCTCATCCCCTTGAAAGGCCTCGCTACACTTGAGGAGCAGCCCACCTATGGTGGCCGCATACAGATCACTGCCCAGGCAGTGCGGCATAAAGCTGGGCGTGACGCACAACTCCCGGCTCAAGTCCAGCAGGGCCGAGAGGAAGTCGTGGTCTTGGTCAGTCGGTGGCAAAGCATAGGAGCTCCGATCAGCCAGGCCAGCGAGTAGCATCTCAATGGCCTCCGAGTCACCCAGCTGAGCGTCGATGCGCTTGCTCAGCTTCTCTGCCAGGCAGTCGCTGCGCACCAGCGGCATCTTGGTCAGCTGCACCACCAGGAGGAGCAGCTGCAGCCGATTTCCCGGGGCCTTCAGCGGGTATATGTAGTGGCAGACATCGTCGCTAAAGATGAAACGCTGCGGATCCAGTCCTCCCTCCACGGCATCCGTCGACGAATGCTGCATCTGCGGATACGGCAAAAAGTTATACGCCTGACGCAGTCGCTCCACCCGTGTCCAAATCTCCGGCAGCGGCATGCCCGACTGCAGCACCAGCTCCTCGAACTCAATCAGCGGCAGCTCATCGGCGGCCCGCGCCTCCAGACAGTCCACCGTCAATCCGGGAAAGTTCAGCTCCAAGGCCAGGCGCAGCAAAGCGAAAACATGATTATTATTCGCCGACTGCCGAAGGAAGAGCACACAGTTGTGGAACAGATCCAGCATTATCTTGTCCGTGTCCACGGTGTCCAGCTGCCGGCTGGAGGTGTCCGTATGCCCCAGATGCATGCGACGCATGCTGTCCTCGTAAATGCGCAGCACATCCGGCACATTGCAACGCGCCATGGTACCCTGGGTGGCCATGATCAGGCTGCTCCACAAACTAAACACAAAGGGGCTCTGCTGCAGCATAGCCTCCAGGCGAACGGCCACCTGAGGGAAGGAAAAGTTTAGTTACAAGCCAAAAGAGTGATCAAAGGGGGGAGAGGGGGAGCACTCACCTCACTGGCCGGATAGGCAGCACTGGCCGTTTCCGTGTACAAACGCAGTAGCCGCTCGTTGGAGGGATGATGGCCCAGGGCCGTTTCCAGGGTGTGCAGCTGGTGCTCGGATACCGCCAGCCGATTGGCCTTGTCCAGATTGAGCTCCAGCAGACGATGCAGCTGCAGCCAGTGCTCCAAATGCTGCGGCTCACGCTGGACCAGCACCTTGGTGTCCATGAGTTGGGCCTGCAGTTTGGCTATCTCCTCCGGCGTGGGACCACTCTCCGACGGCACAGGCGCTAGCTTTGTGTAGCGTTGTAGCTTGGAGCGAGGCCAGAGCTTGGCCTGGACCTGGCTGTTATCCAGGAGATGAGGTAGCCGGCGCTTGTAATGCGGCCGGGTGGGTTTGGTCAGAGTTCTAACCGTTCGCAGGCTATTGTTGCCTTTCTTGTCAACGTAGAAGCCATCGCTTCGGGCATCGAATTCCAGGCGCAGCTGGTGCACAGACTCCTTGGGCGGTGGAGTCTCCTCTTCGCCGGAGGAGGAGAAGGAATCATCAGAACTGATGTGGGTTTGCTCGATGATTTCCCGGCCAACATTTGGCATTTCCTTTTCGTAACTCTTGTTGCTCTTCCAGGCGGTGCTCGAGGTTGCAGTAGCTTCTGTGGCTGCGGGAGGCTCTCCCCCGCCATAGGCGGGAAACAGGGACATGGCTTAAACACTTTTTAATTAAAAAATTTGTTTACAAACAGCTGTCCAGTGTGACTAAAGAAAATAAAGAAAATCCTTAAACGCCACGAAAAGGTTCATTTTCATGGCTTTTCATTAATTTCTTTGGTCACACTAGTTGCCGAGGAAAATATAAACAGATTTTGCTATAACAATTGTTATAGAATAATGCTTACCTGAAACAAATATAAGCTATTACTGGCTAGAAAAACCAATAATATCAAGCACCAGAGATCTCACAAACAATCTTAAAACTTTCCTAAAAGTAAACACGACCTAAGAAAGTAAGTTAAACAATTTAAAGTCAGTCAACAATGTAAACAAACCCCTTTGTCTTAATCTCATTCAACCAGGCTTAAAATGAGCCACTTGGGCCACATTGCGGATGTCCACCAGTCGCAGGACGCCACACCGGACATGGAATCCTTCACGGGCTTCGGAAATTCAGCAGCCGAGGCCTTCATTCAAAGCCTGGCCGGAATGGTGAATCAGGGCGATGTGGAGACCATGATAAGAGCGCAAAAGCAAATGTAAGCCAGGCAGGAAGCTACCCAGATCCTCCAAATAATTCTACCGAAATTCCACAGGCTGCAGCGCTTCGAGAAAACCAACGAGATGCTGCTTAACTGCAATGCCCTTTCCCAGAGTCGCCTGAAGAGTGCCAGCGAGGACTTCAAACGACATGTCAAGTGCCTCAACGATATGAAAAAGGATCTGGACTACATATTTCGGAAGATACGGGTCATCAAGCAGAAACTGCAGCAGCAGTTCCCCGCCATCTACGCCGAGGTGCAGCCACAGCGCAGCAGCTTGGCTGAGGAGGCCGAGGATGATACGGAAGCCCAGGCCAAAAGGGTAACAGAAGCAGCAGTTCCAACTGCAGTTCCGGCAGCCAAGAAGACAACCCCTGCCACCATTGAGTACGTACAAATGGAGGAGGCCGTGGATAATGGCACTGTGGAGATCGAAAACGAGCTGATCAAGCGGGTGTGCTCGGTGGAGACGGCCAATCCCAATGACTCCTCCGACTGCACATCCGAGGATACAGGCTAAACAGTAAACATTCCTCTACTTAGTTAGCTTTACGTTTAATTGCTTAAAATATAATCTGGTACTTGTACTGCTTGGGTACCTTGGAGATTATGACGCGGCCGTCGTAGCTGAGCGAAGCAAAGATCCAGGGATCCACGTTGCTCCACTCCGCACAGTAGACAGAATCCTCGTGCTGGTCAAAGGTCTGCAGAAGTCCGTCGGGTAGCAGTTTGTGCCGCTGCTCTTCCGTTTCTGGAACACCGCCGCTGCCGCCATAATTTGTTTCATCTAGCCCGGCCTGGACTTGGGTCTCGGAGCTCACGGAGCCGGCGCAAGTGAGCAGCACCTTGCAGTCACTGGAGCTGGAGAGCAGAAGTTGGTCGTGGAATGTGTTGAAGCGCACCGACCACACCCAGTGGCAGTGATCACTGCGCTCAAAAACCGGCGCCTTGGGCATCCGGCAGTCCCAGATTCGCAGGTAGCCATCATCGCCGCCAGTTACTAGGTGGCACTGCTTGTTGGGATTGCAGTCCAGGTCGCGCACCATCTGGCCGTGGGCGTCGCTGATACTCCAGGCGCAGTGCTGCGTGTCACGCACATCATAGGCACTCAGGCTGCCGTCGTGCAGGGTGAGGAACTGGTGTCCCTGGTGATGATGTGACCACTTGCCGGTGGTGAAGTGTGACGAGTGCTTGGCACTCGCTGATCCCGAGGCTGGCACCTCGGCCACCACACGAGTGGCGGACTCTGCGCGCTGCATCACCGCCACCTTGTTGTCCACAACGCAGGCCAACGTTTGCTCCTGACTCGGATGGAATTCGATGGTTTTCACACGTTCCCCGAGGCTTTCGGTGTTTAGCACCTCCACCTGCCCCCAGGGCAGGTACTCGGATTTTAGTTGCTCCGCCTCCGAGGCGGCGTTCAGGTCCTCCGGCAATGTAAGCAGAGCTGATTGGGCAAGAACCTGGGCTCCTTTCTGGACATTGTAGACGGATGCCAGCAGGCGGGAGTTGTGGGGGCAACTGTTCAGCTTCCACACTTCACCCAAGGCGTGCTCAAATACCTAGGACATGTGGATATTTAGTAATTTTCTAGGTGTTTTCCCGATTTTTACCTTTGATTGCACGGTTCCCTGTTCCTCCTCGTACTGAATAAGGTGCACCTGGTTCGTTGGCTTCAGGGAGTTGGTGGCTATAAAGAAGCAAACATCGTTGCTCTCGCCGTACTGGGGAGTCAATGCACGGGCCTGCAGTTCCAGCCCATAAATTAGGCTGTTTTCGTCCATTTCGTCCTTCGCCAAATTAAATTTCTTGAATCGTATTTTAGTAGTGTTTGTAAGCGTCGACGGGTACCATGAACATAGATTGTACCTAAACAGTGTGGGTAAATGCTCTCAGTTTAGCTATATAGCTGAGAATTTAGCTTTTTATGGCTAAAGTGTGCCCAATCTTTGTTTTCGCGATTTTATAGTCTGGAAAGCCAACTTTAATCTGGCCACACTGACATTTGACTTTTCTCGTTTCCATTTTGTTTTCACAAAAGTGAAAAAATAGCTGTTAAAGCAACAGACGCGTATTCCGAAATTATTCAACCAAATTTCACTATACAGTCTAATATAGTCAGTGAAGAAAATCAAGCATTGCGTCCGCCCTGAGGCACGGCACGAGGCAAAATTCGCACACACAAGCTCACACCCAACAAACTGCAGAGCGTCGCATCGCATCGCCCGCATCCACCATCGAGCATCCCAGAGTCCGTAGAGCAGAAATGGCCCAGAACATAAGCCCCGAACAGAGCGGCGGAGCTGGGGCCGGGGGCACCAAGCACAGCGATGACTCGCTGCCCGTGAAAGACAACCACGCCGTGAGTAAAAGGTAAGCGTGGGGCGGGCGAAACGGTACTCGAAATGCGGACTCGCAGCTAATCCCCGTTATCACTCCCGCAGACTGCACAAGGAACTGATGAATCTGATGATGGCCAACGAGAAGGGCATCTCGGCATTCCCCGACGGCGAGAACATATTCAAGTGGGTCGGCACCATCGCCGGTCCCCTGAATACCGTTTACGCTGGGCAGACGTACCGGCTGTCGCTGGACTTCCCCAACTCGTATCCGTATGCGGCGCCCGTGGTCAAGTTCCTGACATCCTGCTTTCACCCGAACGTCGATCTGCAGGGAGCCATCTGTCTGGACATACTGAAGGATAAGTGGTCGGCGCTGTACGATGTGCGCACCATTTTGCTGTCCATACAATCGCTGCTGGGCGAGCCGAACAACGAGAGTCCACTGAATGCGCAGGCCGCGATGATGTGGAACGATCAAAAGGAGTACAAAAAATATTTAGACGTGTTCTATGAGAAACACAAGGACACCTAGGTGGCCCACCAAACGCGATCCTATGCTCATATTGCGGCGTATTTATTTACATATAGTGCAAGCAAACTCCACTCATCCGAACCGAACAGATCCGCCAATCCTTCTACTCCCCCGCCACACATTATCTCCATTCTCAACATGCATCGCTTATGCTGACTTTGGCGACCGTGCATTTTCCTATGTCATTTGTCGGATAATCTGGTTTTATTCTCATTTTTTCAAGGCAACCACAAATTAATGATATATATATGATCTATGAATGTATTGGTAATATGTAATTTTAAAAACTGTCGTGTTCTTTAAGCTTAAGCATATATAACTTTTAGTTAATTGTTTTTTATACATGATTTTTGAAGCTGGACGGGCGGTGCAAGCCCTGCCTTTTGTACTGATGATGATGATGATTTAGAAGCGACTGTGCTGCGCCCCGGCCATTATGTGAATGTTAGCTAATTTTAGAGAGTGTAGCCTCACCGAATCAATCACCAATCAATCAATGAACCATTCAGTCATGTACTAGTGTCGCCATCCATCCACTCATTCGTTCGGCATTTTTCCCCCCCAACAAATTCCAAGTAATTCGAATCATTTGTAACAGTTGAGTTAGCTTGATGTTATTGAAAAATCACTTACATAAATAAAACAAATTATTAAACTACATTTGGCTTAGTCCTTGGCTCTCTGCACGAGTGTTTGCCGAGGTCCGATCTCTCCCGGAAGATGCGCCCGCACTTTCTGCAACGAGGCAAGTCTCTGTTGCCATGTCTTCGCTGCAGGTGATCCGTCATGTTCTCCTTGGTGTGGAACCTATGGTCACAGTGCTCGCAGGCATATTTCCGCTCCTCGGGCTTGCCATGCGTCGCCTTGTGGCGGGTTAGGTGAGCCCTTCGCCCAAAGGACTTGCCGCACTCTTCGCAAATATACTGGCAATCGTCGGTGGAGGAGAACTCGGACTCATGCTGCCGTTTCACATGATATTTGAGACTCCGCGCCGCTGTGTACACTTTGCTGCAGCTGGGACAGGGATAGGTAACCCGCCCGCTGCCATTGCAATGAATCTCCCGCAGGTGTGTGTCTAGTAAGTTGGCCCTCGCATAGCTCTTGCCGCAATGGACGCAGGTATAGGGGTTCACGCCCTCGTGCTGCTGCTTCACATGGGCCTCCAGCAGGGACGATTTGTAGAAGCCGCGCTGACATATGCCGCAGTCGAGGGTGTGTCTCACTCGCCGCTTTCGCTGGCCTGTTGTCCTTTTGTATTGGGCGAAAATGCGGGGAACCTTTTCCTTGCCCAGATCCTGTTTGCTGCCTTCGTCCTCGATTATGTAAACTTCTTCCTGTTCATTAAGGGAAATATGGTTTTAATAATTAAAGAAATTAATAGAACGGTTTGGAAATGGGTTAAAAAACAGCAGAGCCAAAATATATGGAGCGACTATGATTCTAAAATCCTCTTAAAAAATGTTTCAAGTTGGAAATATATTATTTATAAAGGTAATTTCAATTTATTTAAACAAAAAACTGACAAAGCATAACTTCGAAAAACATTTTTTGAGAAATTTCATCCTTATTTTATGTATTTAAATACTTTCAAATGAGAAACTAATTTATAAATAATTTTAAAATAAAATGCAGAGTCTGGAGGTATTCAGAAACATTGATTTTTAAAAAACTTAAAAACTTATCTAAAACAATGCAAGATATCATTAATATTCTTTGACAAATTTTTAAGACATTTTGGGAATGATTATGTATTTTTATTTGAAATTAAAAAAGTTTTAAAGGAAAAGCTAATTCATATATCTTGAAAATAAAAACCAGTAGAGTAAAAAGTTATTAATAAACAATGATTTTTTTTTTATTTAAAAATTAATCTATTAGTAAATACTTATACAATAATGTGAAAATAATTGTACTATTCAAAAGATTTTTGTTAAATTAAATTCTGAACAAATTACTTGAAAGTTGTTTTTTTTTTTCAATAGTTTTAAAGGATAAACTAATTTATATATGAATAAAAATATATTTAAGATAAAATACTTCATTTCTGCATTACAGTTTAGGATTCTCGTAAGCCTTTTTTTTAATAAACTATACTTCTACCCTTGTGTTATCAACTCAATTATCTTATCACTCTTTCAAGGCAGGTAATAGAGGAAGAAAAATTCTTTAGTAGTTCAGGGCCATTGATCTGAGGCAATATATGTAGACTTCGCTATCTACATAATACTATCTGAATTAGATAAAGAAACACTTTTGGTTGCCTAGATCATAGATTTAAAGAGCTCTAGGAAAAACTTTTGTATGGAAATGAGAAATAATAATGATAATGATAATAGTAATATATCACAATATATCTGAACAGAAATGAGAGATAATAGTAAGCATTATAAATCTGAGCAAATTTATAATTATTTTTTTACTTTGCACTTATCATGGATCTAAAGAACTTTTATATATAATTTTGATTTATTTTATTTCAGCTTCTTCTATGCAAATACAAATAATTCGCCTGTCTAGATATTACTGGATATCTTTTGAAATTTATTAAAAATACACTTTTAATTTAGAAGCCATAAAAAACTATATACATACATCTATAAAGATGTATATACCTTAAAAAAAAAAATCAAATAAATAAAAGATTTGAGACGTGCCTCCTTTCCTCGATACGCTATCGCGGCAAACAAAAATAGTTGTATACAAACAAATACTCAGAAATGTTTATGTTTATGACCGCCCCGCCGCGTAGGAGGAAGCGTTGTCTTTTTCCCCTGCTGCTGCTAGGCAACAAAATCAAGCACCGATATGGTGATTAGATTAAAGTGGAGACACATGGGTGTACACACTCACAATCTCCTCAATTGATTCCATGCTTGGGGCCTCCGCTAGCTCCTCCTGATTAGTGGACTCATTGCTCTCCGAAGGAGTATCCGGTAAAGCTGGAACTGCATCCTCCTGGGCCTTGAGGCAGTACAAGTCTATGTCCTGGAGCAGCTTCTGAAAGTTGCGCGAGGACTCTTCGCACATGCGTTGAAATGCATAGAATTTTTGCACTAATTGATAGCAACACTCGCAGATGCTCTTCAGGACCACCAGTTGGGCCAGCACATCGTCCTCATCTTTTCCCGGATCGGCACCAGTGCAGCCAAAATATTTCCTCGCCAGGTCCTGTTCGCTGTCCAGGCTGTAGGCGGCATCCTGGGGACCCAGGAGCACAAGACATGCCCGGCATATCAGCGTCGTCCTCGACGCATTCTGTTCGGCCGTCGTGGAGTCTGCAACCATACTGCGCGCGCAAAGGTCCAGCTTCGTTTGAAACATCTCGCTGGAGAAGGGTGCCGCCGCCGCTTTCATGAAACAAATTGAAATCAATTATCACAATTTACGGTTACGGCGGTGCTGCTGCAGTTCCGCGTCCAGCGACCCGCTCTGTCACAGTAGTGGAGAGCGGTGAGCGGACAACAGACACCACCACGAGCCATCTCTCTGGGGGCTTTCGCGTTGCGGGACATTGAAAGCTGCTGTTGCCGAAAAGCTACCCTGGGATTACCCCCAAAAAGCTTGGCGCCCAGATATACCTTCGAATTTTGGAAAGCTATCGCTCCTGCTTGGGGTCAGCCACTTAGAATCAACTTAGAACAAATAGTTCTATAATATAAGAAATCTAATCTATGTTTGCCACGCCCCTATACGTCCCCCTGGAAATTAGGAAGATTCTAAATTTTGCAATTTTGTAGCAGTGTATTAGTGGTTCTCATACGTAACACAGGGAACCTCCAAATAGAGCTTTGCTCTTCTTCTGGTGTAACTTAGCTAAGTTAAATCCATTCTAAGATCCACCAAACGTTCTAGGTTTTCACATAAAAATAAAAAATCACTCCTTTTAAAAACCGAGACTCATTTTATTTGTGTTTTTTACAGCACAAAGGTTATAAAAAATATTTATATATGTCTTTTAAGTAAAAGTTAAAAACTAAATGGAAAAGTGGTTACAATAAGTTCAATTTTGTAATTAAATTCAATTAAAATGGTTAAGAAGTGGTCCATAGATTTCTGAGATTTTCTTTAAGGTTTAAGAATAATTTATATTAAGTATTAAAAAATATTTACTACTGAGACACTGTAGTACCTTTTACATTTCATATTCCCTTTTCTATACACTATCACCTGTCATCGTGGAGCCGCTGGTCACTGTTGTGGCCATCGATGAAATGGTCTCCAGGGAAATGTTCAGCTTCTTCTTGAACGCCTGGATCGTGTCCAAGTGATAGATCTTCTGTGTGCCATTACAGGGCCTCTTGTCAATCGAGAGCGTATACAGATTGACATCTCCGCTGTTCGCCAGCAGAGTGGACATGTAGTGGGGCAAGTAGACACGCTGCAGTTCCGGCGACTCGGATGTCTCCGAGCTATTGTCTTCTCCGTTGGCCAACTCCTTGCTAAAGGATCGATGCAAACGGATAATCTGGACACTCTGGTAGTGGGAAACGAACAAGAAGGGCTCGCGGTAGACAAACCCAGTGGGGGCATACATCCAGTTCAAGTCGTACGGCCTGGAACGGCAACCAAACTCATCCACAAAGACGCCGCTCTCCGCAAAGCAAAGCAGGTATTCCTGCCGAGAAATTCGTACGGCCGTCAATGGCTGCCATTTGGCAGTGTTTTGCATGGACTTTTCGGCCAGATCTACAAACTCCTCGGCCGCATAGTTGACCAAATCGATCTCGTAGAACTTGTCCGAGGTGACAATGGCCGAGTGGCGCGTAAAGAATATCGAAGTGACGGGAGTGGCAGTGTCCAAGGCTCGAACGGGCTTAAACATGTGCACTTTAAGATCGTATTTCAAGATGACAATTCTGGTGGATGTAGCAGCAATGGCCACCGAATCCAAGGCGTTCTCCGCCTCGTCCGAAATCAGCACCAGTTTCCACTTTTCCGAGGATGTGCGATTCGCGAAGGGCAGCTCGATGGCCGAGGTCTCCAAAACGGGCTTGTGACAGGCACTAGAGCTGTGGCAACGCGACTCCAACTGCCGGAAGTCGCACTGATACAGCTTCTCGCCAACTGTATCCACCATAATAGCCTTGGCCAGGCGCAGGCAGATGGACATGCAGCTCACGGACTCAATGCCCTTGATGTGGAGCAGTCGCTGCGAGTCCAAGTGATATGCATACAAGCCCGTATTGCAGCCCAACAGAAGGATCTGCTGCTCGGCCACCTCAAAGGCGCAGTTTACCTCGATATCCTTTCTGGCTGCCTGATCAGCATCCTCGGGACCATCACAGCTATAGACCAGGGTTCCTATATAGTCGCTGTTCTCCTCGCTATCCAGATTAATGCAAGACCCGGAAGGAATACTACCCAGATCCTCATCGGCTGGCGGGGCCGTTGGCTGCTTGGTTCCACAATTTCCCTGGACATTGGCCCGGCATTTGCGGTGCGTCACATCCTTGCACTCCTTACACTTCCAGAAGGGTGAACCCGCCACGATGGCTTGGCCACAGACCACACAGTCCGCGGCACCTTCTTTGGACTCCTGCAGAGCCAATTCGAAACGATGATGCGCCTGCTCCACACTGCTTGTTGTCTTTTCGGTGGTCTTCAGTTCCACGTGGCTTGCAGTACGTTTCAGGGACTCCACCTGCTTCTGAGGGGAGCGCGGCAGGACAGCAATGCTTACGGGTCGCTGCTTTGGGGCATCCGAGTCACCATTAACTGCCGATGTCTTGCGAGGAGAGCGCAGGGTTGCTGTTCCTGAAAAATGGGTAAAGAGCTCGTAACTTTTACAGTATATTCTATAAATAAACTCTTTTTTAAACAAAAAACTAAATTTTTTCCCATAAAAGTTGGTTAAACTTGCCATTTCGCCTGCACTCACCATTCAACTGCGCTATTTGCTCCTTCAACATGCTCGACAGCTTTTGTTCGCGCTTCAGTTCCTCCTTTAGCGCTCGGTAGAGTATAGAAGACTCCACATCGTTGGGCGAGACATTCTCCTTGTTGGTGTGGCTGGAACCAAAGAGCTTGTCGGCCAGGGTTTTCTTCTTTTTTGCTGACAGATCCTCCACCTTGAGCTGAAGGATTAAAAGCCATGTAAATTACGGAAATATAAACTAAAGTTATCTTTCCAAAATATATTTACCTGCAAGTAATCTATCAACTTCTTGTGCTGGGCCAAGGTGGCATTGGATTTGATGTCCCTCTGCACATAGAACTGCTCCTTTTCGGCCAGGGTGTCCTGCAGGGAATCGATCTCTGCATGCAAGTCTGCCTGAGCGGATTCCAGATCTCTGACAGCTGCCTGCAGGTTGCTCACCTCCTCCTTCTTGTGGAAAAGTTCGCTTAGAATGCGAGCATTCTCCTCCTTTAGGTTGAGCATTTCTCGCACAGAGTCAGCGGTCTGGACTTGGTAATTGGCATTCTCACCATCCAAGAGATCTGCGCGCTCTTGGGTGGCAAACAGAGCGTTTGTCTGCTCCACCAACTGATCCTGCTGGGAAACCAACTTCTTTTGCTGATCCTTGAGGTGGAGTCTGGTTTCCTCGAGCTCGGACGCCAGGACTTGGGCCCGCTGTTCGGCCAGACGCTTCTCGGACTCAATGGCAGCCATTTGCTTTCGCAGCTCGGTAAGTTGATCGTTTCGCTCCCTCAGCTTCTCATAGACAGCATCCAACTGGGACTTTTGGGACTTGTTTCGATCCTGCTCGGATTTCAGCATCGTTTCCACCTCCGTTAGTTGGTTATCGGTGATGCTGCAGGCGTATTTCAGCCTCTGGAAGTTCTCCGTAAGCTGTTTGAGCTCCTTTTTCAGCGACAGGCTGGAATCGGCGGCTGCCCGGCACCTCTCTCGCTCCTCCTGAAGCTCCCTTAGAGTGTTCTTGTTCTCCAAAGTCAGTCCATCGAAGCGCGCCTGGACCTGCTTCAGTTTCTGACGCACCTCAGTCTCCTGCTGCTGCAACTTGTGCACATTGGCCAAGTGCTCTATTATCTCCGACTTGCACTTCATGCGCTCCTGTTCGGCCTTCTCCCACTGACGATGCTCCTTTAGCACATCCCTCTTGGCGGCAGCCAGCTCCTGCTTCAGCTCCTCGATCCGAGCCTCGCGCTGGCGCGTTTCCTCCTGCGACGACTTCAGCATCCGCTGGGATTCCTCGTTGGCATTTTGGGCCTTCTTAATGCGATCCTCAGTTAGCTCCATGCGACGGGCCAGTAGCTTCTTCTCTGAGAGCGCCTCCTCCAGCTGCTTCTCCACCTTCCAGAGCGACAGATTAGCTGTCCGCGCCGCCTGACGCTCCACAATCATCTGCTCCTGCACGGCGGCCAGCTTATCCTCCAGCTTCTCGTTCTGGCGCTCGAGCATATCGCCAACAGTCTCGGTTCCAGGCTTACGGGCGGAGTGCGACTTGGTAGGCGATAGACTCTGCTCGTTGAAACGTTCCAGCATCTGCTCTAGCTTGGTGACCAGCGCCTGCAATTGATCGGCACGTCCCTTCTGGTGATTTTCGCTCTCCTTGGCTGCCTCCAAGTCAGCGCGCAGTTGGTCTTCCACCACGTTTAGTTCGGTCAGAGAGCCAGGTGCTGTTTCGTATGGCGAAGCTTGGGAAGCCAGCGAGGACTCGGCTAGTTGGCAGCGACACTCAATGAGCTACGTTTGGTTAAATATAGGAATTTATAGGGATTTATAAAATGGATTTTAGGGGTTGTATATTTTTATTCGTTTTTTTTATAAGTTTGAAAGACTTAATTCATTGAAACTCTTTTTTTTCAATAAATATTTAAGGATATTAAGTGATTTGAAGGACTATTAAGCAAATATAAATATTTTAATAACAATATCACATTGATAAACTAGAAAAATGCATGACATACTACCTTAATTATTGTTTTTTTTTACGCACTAATGTTTTATACCCTTATTATAACACCTACCTGAAGTTCCCGCTCAAGTCGCTGACATTCGGCCTTCACCTCTTGCATATCGTTTTCCTTTAACTTGAGCTTCGTTTCCAGCTTAACCTTCTCCGAATTCAATGCATTATTGGAGGCAATCTCCTGGTTGAGACGACGCAGTATTTGTTCGATATTTCGCTCTGTGGCATCCTTTGCTTCTTGGGTAGACTTGCTAGAGCTGATCGACTCGTCCCTCTCGGTTCTTATCTCCTTCATCTCCATGGTGAGGCGACGATGTGTGTCCTGTGAGTCGCGCACCTTTTTCCGCAGTTCCGAAAGCTTTTGCTCATACGATTCGGCCATCTGGCGCCTCTGCTCCTCGCTGTTGGCCTCGGATTTTAGATGCTGATCCTTGAGCTGCTGTACCATGTCCTTGTAGTTCTCCAACTTTAGGGTTATATGCCGGCACTCATCGTTCTTGGCTATAAACTCCAGCTCCCGGGCATCCATCTTCTGCAGCGTGGCGGCTAGTTCTTGTTTCTTGTCGGCCAACTGCTTTTCGTATCTCTGCTCCGAGGCAATCTTGGCCTCTTCGTACTTCTGGCGATTTAGCCGTAGGAGATCTGTGATGGTGGCCTCCTTTTTCGACCACATTTCCTCGTCTATTTTCGCCGAGCTCTGAAGCGTCTTGATCTGGGTCTTGCAGTTTGCCAACTCCATGGTTTTCTCCTTGATAATATGCTGCAGCTTCTTGATTTCCATTTTAGCATCGTTGACGACCTGTGACTTATTGTCCGTCTTCTTGAGGGATTGCTGTGCCCGCATGAGATCCTGCTTCAGCATGGAAATCTCATTCTCCCTGGCCTTGAGTTTCTGCAAAAGCTCCTTTAGCTTCTCCTGCAACTTTTCATCATTTCCAGCTGTGAGTGACGTCTTCTCCATGTGCACAAAGCTGTAGCCAATGAATGGCAAGTCCTTGCCACTAAAATCATTCGATTTCATGTTGGTTGACAGCGACCTTTTGGCCACTCCCCCCTGCTCCCGACGTGACTTGTGTCGCGTTCCATCCTCAAAGTTCGAAGTGTCGTCGTCCGACTTGATCGTTGGAATAATCGGCGGAACCTGTGAGCGTATGGAGCCCCACTGAATGTCGTCGAAGAAGGGATGCTTTTTAATGCGTTCGTAGGACAGACGCTTCGAGGGATTCGTGACCAGGGACTCAATCAGGTTCCTGTAGTTGTGCGATACCTTCAAGTCGCTGGGAAAGTTGATCAGCTCCTTCAGATGACTCTCCTCGCAGTGGGAGAGGATTTTTGAGTAGGTCTCGTGCACGTTATCCTCGTGGAAGGGCGTGGTTTCGCAGATTAGCTCATAACCGATGATGCCCATGGACCAGTAATCGCAGCTCACCTAAGAACGGATTGTATATGGCTTTAGTTATAGGAGTTGGGAACACCTTGGCATCTTTTCAGCAGCTCTGCGATCGTACAGTTCTACTCACATCGTGCATCGACTTGGACAGTTTGTAGGTCGAAATGGTTTGCAGCAGCTCGGGAGCAATATAATCGGGTGTTCCAACGGGCGACAGGCTCAGCACATGTCCGTCCCGATCCAGGGCAGCAGCATTGCCGAAATCTGCCAGTTTAATGTGCCCAAAACGATCGATCAGTATATTCTCTGGCTTGATATCCCGATGCACATAGCCCATCTCGTGGAGTGTGTGCAGCGCAACAGTGAGTTCGGCCAGGTAAAAGCGAGCCAAGTCCTCGTCGAAAGGGCCATGACGTGACATCAAACTGAGCAGATCCCCGCCAGGCATATACTCCATCACCAAGTACAGGTTATCGTTGTCCTAAGCGTAAATTCTTAATTAATTAACGACGCTAAAGGATAAAGGCTGAGTGAAATTCACCTGAAAAGCATACTGCAGATTAATTAGCCACTCGGAATGGCGAATAGACATGATGTCCCGCTCCTCCTTGACCTGAGACGTGGTGACCACCGACTTTTTGATCTTTTTCATGGCGTAAATATCATTGGTTTGCCGCTCCACAACCAGATGAACGTTTCCAAAGTAGCCCTGACCAATAAGCCCCTTGATTAGGAAGTCATCTGCATTCACTCGCAGTTTGCGGGTCTCCTCCACGATGGGACGAACTGTTGGAGGAATGGAATCAAAATAAATGCTAATACTGGATTCGTGAGAGGACTACTTTCTATTTTAATATAAATTTTTCAAAGGCTTAAAAATTTATAAGTGACTCACATTTGTTGACAAACTCAGCGATGTTGCGATCCCGCTTCTTCAGCGCGTCCTTGTCGCATTCGTTGTACAGCAGACAAAAGGCATCCAGAAGCCCTTCCCGGCACACGGCCTCTGCCACAGCGGCACTGGTGGTGCTCACAGGAACTACGCTTCTCCTGACGGATGAAACGGAGGACGATGATCCGCTGGCATTTCCCGCGGGTTTCGCACAGACGCCGACTCCTTTGCCCAGAATCAGGTTGTTCAGCCGCGCCGTGCGGACGCTTATCGGATCCAGTTGAGGTGGCATGTTGGTTTTGCTATATTTTACACACTTTAACACAATTAATTGAGCGAAAAAGCCATAAAATGCCAGCGCATTTTCAGTTGGTGATTTGCTTTGAAAAGGAGAGAAAAGAAGCGCCGAGTGAAGCTAGAGATGACAAAACATCGATAGTAGCTCGGTGGCGCTACCGATTGATTTTAGACTATCGCAACAAAAGTAACGAGGGCTGGATAAAAAAAAGATAATTATAAAAAATTATAAATTCTACAAATTTAATTCGTGTTGTAAGTAGAAGATGCCCAATAAACCAGTGATTGCAAAAAGTCGTATATATTCCACTTAGCCAATAAAAATATTATTATTTAAAAAATTATATATTAAAATTCTTTTTATTAATTAAAAAAAAAAATCGAATTAAAAATATTATTAGCAAATATTCATCTAAAATGTAATAATTATGAATATCATGGATTTGACGGTGAATTCGGGACCAACCGTCGAGGAACTGCAAGATTCATGTTGTTCCTTCTTGTATTTGGATTATTATTGGGGAATTTGGGAAATTCGAAAGCCAGATTATGCACTAAATCACAATAAATCACTTGAATCAATTAAATTGAAAAAGGAAATTATACTAATTGCGAAACTTAAAAGCTGAAACCAGCTATAAAATGACCAACGCGGCAGCTCCAGCCTAGAGCCTGCTAAACCATCGATACCATCGCGGCACTCGCTAAAAATCGTTCATTTTCGACGGGTAGGTTTTCGCAGACGGACGAAGAAAAGATTTGTGCGTCGAAAATTGCAAATTTTCACATTTAAGGCCGTGTGTGCTGCACCACAGACATTGGAAAAGAGTTTGGCACACCTGTGCAAAAACGAAGGAGAATATAGCGAGCTTGGCCAATAGGCGATTGGCCGCAAAATCGCCCTGAAACCTGAAAGTAATTGCGTGTGAGAACCGAGAAAAAACCGAAAAGAAAAGCGAACAGAAGAGAAGAGAAGTAGTGGAGAGGCTGAAACCATCGAGAAATCGTTGTCGTCGCGCTCGCTACAATTGTTTGCTTTTGCCAGAAATTTGTGAACAATTGGTACGCCGCGCGCTGTTGGCAAACACCTAATAATAATAGTTTGCATTTCGGAGTGAGTGAGGTACAGTGAAACATAACCAAGATGAGCGGGGGATTGCCGGAGTTGGGCTCAAAAATCAGCCTTATTTCCAAGGCGGACATCAGGTATGAGGGCCGCCTGTACACCGTGGATCCGCAGGAGTGCACCATCGCTCTGTCGAGTGGTAAGTCCCCCGAATTTCTCCCACGTAATTGCTTTTCCGCCCCCTCAACTCTATATATATGGGATATAGGTGCCGTAATCTGCGCCAAAAATCGCTGTAAAAAACGGTTCATCGAAAAAGAAAATGGAAGAATACGAAATCTTCCAATTTCTCTTGCGTTCGTTCTCTTGTCCACATTTTTTTTTTTTTATTCGTACCTCTTGTTAGTTTTTACAGTAATTTGAGAGTGCAGTGCCGCCCGCTGTCTCGCTCTCTCTTTATCCTCCTGTCTCTCGCGCTCTCACTTATGCTTTTTGTTTGTCATGTTGGCTTTGGCCCTGTTTTTGTCTCGCTCGCTATTGTTGTTGTTGTACAGTGTTGCTTTTGCATTTTACATGGCACACATACACACACCCACACCATTATTGCAAGTTGTTTGGAACGGAACGTCTACTTGCAAAAACAATTTCGATTTGGCGCCAGATAACGGGACGTGCGGCTACCGTTACGGGTGTCAGTGCCCTGTGGGGATGGATGCAAAGTAGAACTCACGAATACCGGCAAAACATGCGTTTCTCTTTCCGTCTCTCATCCATTCCCGGCCGCGTTGAGGTTAAATAGGAAACGCGGCGGTCTAACCTTAAATTGAATATGTATTTATGCAAAATGGACTTTTGCACGGAACTAACCATGTTCTCCCGCTTATCTATCTAGTGCGCTCCTTCGGTACGGAGGATCGGGATACCCAGTTCCAGATAGCGCCGCAGTCTCAGATCTATGACTACATACTCTTCCGGGGATCGGACATCAAGGACATTCGCGTCGTCAACAACCATACGTTGCCGCACCACAATGACCCGGCGATCATGCAGGCGCAGCTCCAGAATGGCCCGCCCCAGGTTATGCCGCAACACTTTCCAATGCCCAGCGGAATGAACGCGCCTCCCCAGCAGCAGCAGCAACAGCAGCAAGTGCCGCCGCAGCAGCCCCCGCATGGCGCCCCGTCTATGCCGGGCGTCGGTGGTGGTAGTGGTGGCTCCGGAGCTCCTGGCGGCCCTGGATACGGCAATGGAAATCCGTTTGGAAACCTCGGTGGCCCCAATCTGGCCAACATGGTTGGCAACTCTGGCGGCGGATCGCTAGCACCAGGCTCGGGAGCCCCGGGTAGTGGACCCTTCATGCACATTGGCGGCAACCAGCAGCAGCAGAAGCCCCAGCAGAAGCAGCCAAGTGAGTTTTGTTTCTTTTATCTTATTTATTTTTTATATTATTTAATAAGGAATCTAATCTTAATTTTCCTAACTTAAGGTCTTTCTTATCTTGTTCTTGCAAACATATTTTTATACTAAGTAATAATTTCCAAATTTTTATTTTAAAAGCTATAATTTCGTAAAAATGTATCATACCTTTAAATAATACTTACCTGTGATTGCACGCATTATTTTTTCTTCTCGTTGCGTCCTCTATATGTGTATAGTTTCCGTTCTAGACATGCTGGCCGGAGCCTCGCGTTCCACGACGCCCATCAGCCTGATTGTCAGTCCGACGGCCGAGCTGACCCAGCAGCAGCAGCTGCACCAGCAACAGAACGCTGCTCAGGGTGGTGGCAACGGGCGCGATGCAGGTCATAAGCGCCAGAACCACCAGCAGCATCATCAGCAGGCGCAGCAGCAACGCGGCGGGTCCAACAGCAACAATATGCAGCAGCAACAGCGAGGTGGCGGTAGTGGAAACGACTTCTACAACCAGCACCAACAGCAGCGGGATCGTCGCGATTCCGGCCGTCAGATGGATAATAACTACAACAACAACTATAACAACAATCAGCGCAATCGCGGAGGCGGTAATGGAATGCAACAGCAGCAGCAGCAACAGCGAGGTGGAAACGGCGGCGGAGGAGGAAATGGTGGCAATGGAGCCTGGAACATGCACCGCGGCGGCAATGGCCAAAATACGAACAACATGATGATGCGTAATCGCGGAATGGGATCCCGGGGTCCAATGCGTCCCAATCAGGTAAATATTTCCCACGAAACAAACATCGCTATCAGATTGTTTTACTTTAATAAATTGTATTATGTTGCAGAACTATCGTCCTCAGTCGGCCAATCAAAACAAGCCGCGCAACAAGATTAAGTTTGAGGGCGACTTTGATTTCGAGCAAGCCAACAACAAGTTTGAAGAACTCCGCTCCCAGCTGGCGAAGCTCAAGGTGGCCGATGATGCCACCACCAACAAGTCGGTCACCAGCAACTCGACGGCAACAACCACAACAACTGCAACCAATGAGCAGGTGGGTGAAGAAAAGCTTGAGGGCGCCCCAACAGTAAGTAAAGCACACATATTTCTTATCCTTTCCAAATACTGATTGTTTTTAGTTGTACAAATGTATATTGTTAATATTAATATTGTAGCTTGACTCATTTAGTGGTATCATAATGCTAGTCTCGGATAAAATATTATATTAATAGCTTAAAACTAATTAAAGTCAAAAAGGCACAAGAGAGTAATTCATTTCCTTGATAAATGTATTCCTTTTGCTATCACATTATATCTAAGATAAAGTCTTCCATGTTAATCCTACAATTTGGATCTCATTTCGATTTCAGTTGAATGGCGAGACCGACAAGAAGGATGACTCTGGCAATGAGACTGGCGCTGGCGAGCATGAGCCCGAGGAGGATGATGTCCATGTGTGCTATGACAAGACCAAATCGTTCTTTGACAACATCTCGTGCGAGGCTGCCCAGGATCGCAGCAAGAACAAGAAGAACGATTGGCGCCAGGAGCGCAAGTTGAACACGGAGACCTTTGGAGTGTCCTCCACCCGACGTGGCAGCTATCGCGGGCGCAACCATTACTACAACAATGGCAACATGGGAGCGGGCAACGGCGGCATGAACTCCGGCTATGGCGGAGCGCAAGGCTACAATCGGAACAACTACAACCGCATGGGAGGCGGCGGCAACTATCGCAACAGGAGCAACAATCGCAACAATGGCGGAGGCGGCGGCGGCAACGGTCGTGGAGGCAACGGCCAGCCAAACATTACCAATGGCAATGCTGCCAACACGGCTGCAGCATTGAAGGCGGCCAACAATGCTGCCGGTTCTGGGTCCAACGCCACGGACTCCACCTCTAATGCAACAACCGCGACGTCAAAGTCGACGTCCCTCTTGCCAGAGCAGACGCAACAGGTGGCGGCAGTCTGTGAGTAACAACTATTAGCTCGTTTTTTCGTGGGCGCGAATGTTTGCCTAGAATCCCTTGTTTACAATTGCAGCTCAATAGTGCCGCCCAGCCAGTGGAGAACCACTTTAAATACCAACCAACAATTGATGGAAACGAATCGAGGAGGATAAGCCGAAAGTAAATAATATCCTATTCATCATCGCAAAGCTAGTTATTCGATGCAAACCCAATCAACCGACCGACCGATCGACGACACACAGGCTCTTATATTATCAGGAATTTCGAGTTATGGATCTAACGGCATATAAAAATATATTTGTATAATTAAACTTAGTTTTAGCAATTCTCACGACGTCCTGCGCGCGCGCTCACCACCGCTCGCCATGTGTTGTTTTGGTGGCGATTAACGCTCGCCTTTGTGCGATTAGCGACTTGTGAACCGGCCATCTGTTAGGTTTTTGTGTAAATGGCTGGTTCCAACAGCCTTTCGCTGAGCAGAACAACAGCACAGTTATGATAACGATAACGAAAGAAGATAACAGCACGCCTGCAACATGCATTACATTATATATTTAGTAATAGATGTGAAAAAAACATACAGTAAGCATAAGATTATGAAAAGTTACAAAAAAAAAAAGGCAGAACACGAAGAAATCGCGGAGGAGAGTCGATAAAAATAATGAAATTACTGGAGCAAAAA